CCCCAAAACCCCAAAACCCCAAAACCCCAAAACCCCAAAACCCCAAAACCCCTGAATGGGAGTTTTATATTGATTAATAAAAATGGGAACAGATTCATATTACAAATGAGGATTACCCTTATGAGCATTTCCTATTCTTTCCAATACAGCTAAGGTACGACAGGGGTCTGTGATATCTTTTTTATACTTCTTTGCCACCTCTGCAACTCTCACCATCTCCTCATCCCTCTTTATAGTTTCGTAGTTATAGAATCTGAGGAGGATATTAGGATCTGAAGTTTTAAACTTCTTCATCAAGTTAACTGTTTCGTTAAAATTTGTTTGGTAATAATTTTCGAGAAACCGCTCGTGTTCTAGTTTATTTTATAGGTGAGACCCTATCTTTCTTCCTGTAGTTGTCACATTCAGTGATAATGGTATTAACCTTATCACGATTTTCTAAACTCTCTTTGGAGACCTCTCTTGCTAACTTAATTATCGAGAGCCCTAACTTCTTCTTAGATTTAGAGTTAGGATTTTTCAGGCTAAAATTGAATAAAATAACTTACAAGTCCTCATTAGATGTGAGAAAAGATTTAGCTGGGAGTTTCACTTTGGATGGGTGGCTGACTACTGATCTATTGAGATACCTCAAAGATTTCTTATATTCCTTGCTTGACCTATAGAATGAGAATCATGATTACTTCTCCCTCAGTCTTTTGGTATTAGTATTAACAGGTGTCTTGAACATACTGCCAGCTCGCATATCAATAGAGCGGAATTTATTTACTCTCTCCTGAATCAAGAATCTTCGACATCTTCTTGCCCTTATTAGTGCTATAATCCAGGCTCATCTTGGGCTGATCAAACATGTTTTGATCTAACTCTAGATTAGTCGATTTGTTGAGACCAATCTTTAACTTCTTGAGCTTCTTCTTCCTTGAAGACTTATTTTGAAATTATTTTCCTATAAAATGCTCATGAATTCCTACTTCAACTCTAAATTCTCAGTCTGTATCTTCATCACATTTTGAGAGATTTCAGGAAGAATCTTCTGGATATCAGGAGAGTCTTCTTTCTGTAGCAAGGTGTTGTTCTTAAACCTGAAATACGCTTGATCTTCCCCACAATAATTAGTAATTCTGCACTTAAACGGCACCTTAGCTAGCTCCGCCTGGATCTGTGAAGAGCTTCTGTGAGAAAAATTGGGAGCCTTGACTTTTGGCATTTCAAATTCTCCGAAATTTTTCTCATACTGTTTATTTTCTCAGCTCTTCCTTCTCTCTAAGTTCCTTATTAACAATCCTATTGATTTCGACCTTAGTCTCATGGAATGCATCATCATCTATTTTCTTGGACTTGCTCTCAATATCCTTGAACTTAATAGGAGTTTTATTTCCTATTAAGGAACTTACGTAGGAGACTAAAATAACTGTAGAGGCTTACTTGATCTCTTCCATTGTACGGTTATGGCTATCTTTGAAAATTCGTTCAGTCACTGTAATGAATTCAGAATTTTTATCCTTGCTCGACATCTTTGACTTGTTCAAAATGTTCTTAATCTGGCTTGAAAGTTTTATTACAGATGGGTGTCTGCCTAGAGAGATGGAGGACTAGGTCTTACTTCCAGAGGCATCAAGGCTTTTTACTTCAGAAGGATGCTGTCTAAGGTAGTCCTTTATCTATAGCATTTAAGTCAGTGTTTATGTAAAGGATGGTAGAAGCTAAGTGAAGATTCAGAGCTAAATTATGTCATGTTAAAATTAATTTTCAGATCAGCGTTATGGTTAGAGTCAGGAAACTAGAAATAAAATAATTCTTGTATGCTGTAATAATATTTTTCTATAATTGATATTCAAAATGTAAAATGTACCAATAAATCAAATCCAAAATATTAGTCTGAGTAAGACACCTTACCTCTTTCCTCTGCGTTGAGGATAAATTATGCATAATTTTCAATATTGTATATAATTTTTGGGGTTTTGGGGTTTTGGGGTTTTGGGGTTTTGGGG